TTTTCGTGTGATACATGTCATTGAACGCGAAGCGGATGAGGCTCCATCAGATGATGAGGACAGACGTGGGGCAATTGAGCTGGAAGATGATGAGTGAACTCTTTGAGCTGAAAAAAGGTTGGGGTGGGGTGGATTTTGGGGAATTTATGGCTTGAAGTTCTTGGGCCTGGTCGCTAGGTGACTACGGTCTTCGTGTGCGAAAACAACAAGGTCAAGCAGCGCTACCTACTCCAAGCCTTTAAGGATCCGCTTCTGTTCGCCGACGTGCGTGAGCTTGGCAACGGTGCCGCTTATGAAGTGCGATCTGGTCGATTCGCTGATGTCCCCCAGGCATGGTGCCACCTTGGTCTAAAGACGTTTTCACTTTTGGTTCTATAGTTCTGTATTGAAGATTTTTGGTGGAGGCCGTTTTGGGGGAGACCAGTACGCTGGGGGGGTTTTGAATGGGGCTCATTCCAGGCCGACCTGATACTATGTGGGTACCCATGCAAATCAATCTCATCGCAGAATGCCACGCCGAAGTCCTTCATGGACCCGGAGAGCTTGACAGGGATGGGGTTCCACGCCCTAATGAAGTTCATCGACGTGTCTCAGCCCAAGATTGTCATCACCGAGAACGTCCGGGGTTTGGCACAAGTTCGGAAGCAGTTCTCCAACGAATGCCCGTTGGAGATTCAGAACCGCGCCTTCTCAAGCCGAGGATATTTGTGCTATCACGAGATTGCCAACTCTGCTACCTTCGGACTTGCTCAATCCAGAACACGAGTTTGGGTTATCTATTTGAAGCAGAACAGGCCCCGGTTTTGGAAACGTGTTTTGGAGTCAGTTTTTTACATCAATCGCCCAAGTGTTCGTTGAACTGAGTTCTATGTCTTGTCAAATGTTCTATTGTTCTATTGCGCCCAATATGACATCCAAAGAGCAGGTCTGCCAACCCTCTGGCGATTGTTGACCTCATGCACTGCCGACCTTATCCATTGGCAATGTTCTTACTGCCAGAGCAAGATGACGCGCCCCGTGCCAAGCGTCGCCTGAAACTGGCCTGTGATGACGGCAAGAAGTGGGTGAAGGTGTATGAGCGGGTTCGCAAAGAACTTGGTGTCGCAGCTCGACCTTGACTGCATCTGTTCGAGCCGGTCTGTTTGGTTCGTCGTGAGTTCTATGATGTTGTTTTGCTGGCAGAGAATAATTTTAGGAAGTGCCCTTTTCTGTAGTGCTATTTTGGAGGCAGCCATCAAACATGTTGAATTCGATGTTGCCCAAAGCCCAACAGGCAGATGTGGAATCCAACAGGGATCGACTGCGCGGTTTTCGGATGCCTTTGACCGAGCGTGAACTCGCCATCCTCTCAGTGGCAGTGACAGAGCTTCTGAATCACGATTATCGCCCCTTTGATGACCAGATCATCATCCAGGTCGCGCCCTGCTCTGTATGCAGGGAGTGTTTCGTTTTTTTTTGAATCGATTGGGACATTGGCGCGCGTTTTGGGCTCCGCTTTAGGGGCGATTAGTTTTCCACTTGGTGTGGTCAGTTTGGATCTTTTTTTGCGTGTAAGGACCAGAACTTTGCCCGGTCCACCTGGCACCGCAGTTGCCCATTCATCATGCCTTGCCTCATTCCAAGTGGCAAGTACATCGTCAGCGGGCGATGGACATTGTTGAACCACAAGGACATTGACACATGTTGCGTGTCAAGCCTGTGGGACATTGTCAGCTTGCAAGAAGTTTAAGGTGTAAATTCAATTTGAAAGCAACGTGTGGCAATGCGTTTTCGGCGAGCTCTGTTTGGAAGGAGAAAATGCTGATGTAGGGAGTCGGTGGTTCTGAGTACAAGAAATACAATATGGAGTTGTTGACCCCGTCCCAGCTGAGTGACATGTGTGGCAATGCGTGGATGTCTCAGATTCTGTTGATGACTTCGCAAAAGGTTAAGAGGTCTTTCCTTCGTTCCTTTTTGTGTGCGCTGCAGGTTCAGCTCCACCGTGCGCTCAGCCTTTCTCATTGCAGCGTTGGCGAGCTACAAGGGCCCCCGGCCACTTCCCTTTGATTGAAACGATATGAGTGCGCGTTGCTCCCATGTTGCACATGTCTCAGACTAGAGGCGTTTTCTTGCGTGCGCCGATGCCAAACACAAGTTTGACAAGGGGATCATTGCACGCTGGTTTGCCAGCGCAAGATGGTGAGACTCAGGGGAAAAACAAACAGCAAAGGCTTGTGCTGCCAAGTGTCCAAAGGCCTTATACTTGGGGATCCGTGTTGGGGCCATTATGTGGGCAGCCTGTTGGTTACTAACGCTGCATATACACTGGTCCCAAAAAGGTCGCCCACATCATGGTCCCAAAACAGATCCCCAAAACGCGCTATATGCAAGACTTTACATCTTGCCTTAGTCACGCTTCTTAGGTCGATACTGTTCATCACTTTCCAGTGACTGTTTTTTTTGCAAAGCAGAATGGCGCAGTTGCACAAGATTCGTGGCCCACTAGCTGACTGACTTGCTTTTGGAGCAATGCCTCCCCGGAAGAAGTTGAAGACCGGCGCAGCTGCTGCTTCGTCTTTTGCCGCTGGGGCAGACACACCGATGACTGTTGCGTCGATGGATGACGTGCCTCCAATCCAGCGAGATTGTATCGCAATCTTTGAGGCGATGGTGGGGCTTCGCCATTGTCACGAAGGTCACATCCACTCAGACGCGCGAGGCCCCCTCGTTCCATCAGATGGGTTGTTGCCCTTCCCAGTTGGTTGGGGTGGGACTTTGCAAGACATAGCCATCAGAGCCTTTGACAGCCAGGACGCTTTCTTGGACATGAGCGCACGCCTGGCTCATCGGGTTGGACTGCTGGAATCCCCTGATTCAGATGAGCTACTCCAGCAGTACTGTAAGTTGGATGTGCCTAGGTTGTTGACCCTCGAAACTTTCTCTTCCCGGCCCGTAGGACACACAACTTTACCGTGTGTATCAATGTTGTGTCCTGTTGACTTCTCCTGGATTGTCTTTTGGTGTTATGTAAAAGAGATGTCCAAAGCCCTGCCAAATTTCATACCTCGGTGAGGTCTTTCCTCCAGAGCGTGGAGATGTCTTTGACACGGCGATCGTTTCCTGGTCATTCCAAGAGCAGTCGTTTTGGCGAGGCCCTGCTGGCATTTCTATGGCTGAAGTGGCTGACGTTGGCCGTGGAATTGCTGCCACCCGCTTTCGCGAGGCCGCCCAGGTTTTGATGTTGCAAATGTTTAAGAGCCTAAAAAGCCTTTTGAAACACACACCCTCGAGAATTCAATCCTGTTTCCCACCAAGCAAAGGATTTCAAACTGGAGGCGTTCAAATTGCACGGTCCAAATGAGGTAACGGCCGGGTGTGAGGTTATGGCGAGGTCCCTTCCAAGGTGGATTGAGGTTATGGCGAGGTCCTCTACAAGCTCCTCTCCATGTTTTGAAGGTTATGGCGAGGCCCCTCAAAGGATCAAAAAGTTATGGCGAGGCCCTCTGCGAGGTCCTCTCCATGTTTTCAAGGTTATGGCGAGGTCTCCTGCAAAGTTCAAAGAGGTTATGGCGAGGTCCTCTACGAGGTCCTCTCCATGTTCTTGAGGTTATGGCGAGGTCTTGCGTTTTTGTTTTCATGCGCGACAACCCTAAACCCTAAACGTCAAACCCTAAACCCTAAACGTTGTGGGAAAAATTCGCGAGCATTTTGTTCCTACATAGAGTGTTTAGGTAGGCATAGCATCAGTTGTTAATAGCGTTGGGTTATGGAGAGCTCCTCTGCGAGTAGCTCTCCATAGCGTGGTGGTTATGGTGAGGCGGATTTGCGCGAGGTTCATTGCGCGGTGTGGCCCCGTACAAGTAGTAATGTCAGAGGTTGCATGGTTATGGCGAGCTCCTCGTGGAGTAGCTCTCCATAACTGAGGGTTGAAACCCAGTTAGGGTATGGAGAGGTGGGTCACATACGGCAATTTGCTTGTCTTGTTTGTTCTGTGAGGGGGGAGATGCTCACTGTCCGGCTTCCATGCCAACACCTCAAGCCGACCAACATTGCCTTTGGCAGCCTATATTTTGGCGACGGCAGCCAGAAGGGTCTTGCTGCTTTGGGTGTTTGGGTGGCTTTGTGTCTGGCAGCCGACTTGCCGCGCAATAGCTCCTCACCGATCGACCACCCGAATGTGAAGGCTTTGGCTGCTTCGCTTTTGCGCATCCGAACTGTGATGCGAGGAGCTTCTGGCGGGCCTGATGTGGACAGCCAGATTTCCCGCATCATCAAGCAAAACATGGATGCACGTGTCCAGCCGGTGTCCAGCCTGACTTGGCTGTCAGTGCTCCGAAACATGGGTGAGGGAGTTGGCGTCGATGTTTTGATCCAGAAGTATAACCAGCACCCTGAAGTGGTGGCTGCTGGAACTACTCTTGCGTTGGACAACAAGAAGAAGCAGGAGAAGTGGTTGGGGGTTGGGAGGTACTAGTCCACGATTGTAGGATTTTACACGCTGCGCCCACCAAGACAGGTCAAGAGGCCACAAAAATAAATAGGGCCAACTGTAGTGTAGTTGGCCCTAATTTTTTTTGTCGCCTCTTGACCTCTCTTTGCAATTCAAGAGTCACACAGACTTGTTTAGGACGTTTGCGGTTGGCCGCCTGGTTGTTGCTTCTTTTGCTTGCTGTTCCCTGAGAGGCTGTCCGGCAACTGTTGGAGAACACTGGGCCAGCTGCTCTGGACGAGCTTCGCAGATCGACGCATGACTACGCGTTCAACTATGGCCCCTTTGGAGAGGGGTTTCTCCAAATGAGCTTTGTGTTCATTGGGTCGATTGGGAAACTAGAGCCACCTTTACATTCTGATGGGTCGCAGTTCACACCTCTTCCACGGGAACCTTTTGTCACCTTGTGCTGGGACCTGCAGATGACTTCCAGCGCTCAGGCTCTTCTCTTCAAGCGAGTACGATGCACGTTTGACAGAGTGACTGGCTTGGTCGCCATGCAGTCAAAAAAAAAAGTACCGGATGCAGCCAGATGAACTGCTGCGCACCAGGAATTTGGTCGTGCTGTTCGACCAGCTTCTTGGTCACCTGCGCGCAATGCTGCCCGACGAGGAGGTGGACCAGTGGATTGAGGAGGTTTGCTGTGGCATTGGGAAGGACGAGGATCTACAGAACATCATCAACCTACGGCCAGACTCATTTTCGATGTCCATGCTGTTGTCTGAGCAGGACCGAAGCCAAAAAGACTTTGCACGAGAAAGAGGCCGAGGCCACTGAGCGTGTAGAGCAGCAGAGGTTGGAGGTGCAAGAGGCGCAATGGAAGTACTTTTGCAGCGCGTTGGCCCAAGACCAAGAATCCCTTCAGACAATCCAAAGTGCACCTCCTGCACTTCGCCAGAAGCTCCACGCGAAGCAGGTAGCTGCCCGGAGAAAGCTCATCAACGCGGCAGAGCAGGGCTGCAAAGAGTATCAGGAGCTTGTTTCTGTGTTGACATTGCTTTGTGCTGGCGCAGACTCGATCTGTTTGTGACTTCTACAGGACCACGACATTTGATCTCCTTTTTTGGCTCTCCTTAGATCAAATAAGTCACGGACGGGTTAGACTTGACTGTGTACTTTGCTCCTGGCTCCTAGTACTGCTCACCGGCCAAACTAAAAGACAAACTTGATTGTTTCAAACTGGGTGGTTGGCCCGGCATATTGTCTGGAGGAGCAGTACCTCCGGGTCGTGTCGGTTGAAAAGATTGACCTAGCCAAGTCTGAGATCAGCAAGATGAAGTTGGACATTGTGCCTTGTTTGGGTAGAAGGTGGAAGGGGGTACTTGGCAATGTGTAGACCGACTAGTCGAGGTGTTTTAAAGTACAAGTGTTTTCTTCATCAAGGCCGCAATGGATAGGAAAGCTCATACTAGGGCCTTGATTTAGAACGAGGCAAAGCACCATGGGTGCAGCATGGATTGCATTGCAACTTTGGGGGTGGTGGACTTCAACGTCCCGCAAGCCCGACAAAAGGCCTCGACTACGGCGCTCGTCAATGGTATTTCAGCGGTCAACGACTGTGGCACAGTGAACCTCAACGCAGTCATTTGTTGCATGCCAGAGTTGCCTCGCGACTCTAGCCTCAGGGGTCTCTACGACGAAGAGCGCCAGGTGCTAGAAGCCCTGTTTGGCGTCAAGCAGAACGTAGAGACCAAGTGGATTGACCTTGTCACCAGGGATCGGCGCAGCGATCGGTCTTCAATGCGCCGTTTTGGCGAAGGCCGTGTGGTTGTCAACGGCGAGAGCCTGCAGTCGAACATTTGGCTGTCTTCAGAGCTGTCCATTTATGGAAGGCCAGTGGCCCCGAATGAAGCAGAGAAAGGCGCTCCGGTGTCAATCCTGCCAAAGGCTACGGCATTGTTACTTCCAGAGCACCAATCACCCAACAGTGACCTGAAGCTCGCAGACCGCGTCCGCCCCAGTGCGGAGCAATCCGTTGCACAGAAAGGATGCCTGCGATTTGAAAATCTTTTGGAGAGTATGATGAGGCATGTTGCTTTTCCTGGTCCATGCCTGGTCATCAACTTTACAGGCTATGTAGAAGATGTCGGAGCAGCGGTGCTCTGAATTTGATCAGCAACAACTTTCAACTTGTTGTGCTTTGTTGGAACTTTGTGTGTTGAACGCGGGAGGGTGAAGTTCAATTTTACTTTGGAGTACCAAGGTCTTGAATCTTCGTTTGAAAGGCTGTAGCGGGGGTGAGGGTGGGCAGTACAACTTCACGGAGAACTTGTTCTACTTGAGCGTCCACACCCTTGACACAGAAAGTGGTGTCCAGTACGCCAAGGGCAGGGTGGCCCGTGACACCTTGGACGCCTGGCTGGAGAGAAAGTTGAGCTTCCACGGTTTGAAGTACCAGGAGGACGAGATTACCCTGACTGATGAGGACCGTTTCTGGAACAACTATTATCTAGTGGGTTCATTTACAACTACCCAACTGGCTTGACAAATTGATTGCATTTTCCATGCTATTCCGATTGTCACTGTGGACCTCCAAGATGCCAATCTTTGTGTGTCTTAAATGGACACTCTTTATGTTTTTGTACAACAGTCTTAGACACACTTCTTGCGCGACACATTTTGCGCAACGCTGTCTTGTCGAAGCTCTTTCTTGGCGCGCCGAGCGTAGAACACCCCGCCTTGCTCCTTGCCCCTTGCCTCTGCGGGTGTCCTGACTGACAGAGAAGCCTCTAGATAAAACTTTGGTTGCCAGATGTGCTGCTGTCAATTGGGGTCTTGAGACCTGTAGGTCAACCCAAACAGTTTTTGCGCATCCTCTCGCGATTTCTACAAAAATGCTGCCTCTCGCAGAACTGCAGAACCAAGAGAGATCGAGCGGCCACAAAAACAAGGTGTACGTAAGAGTTCTTACCCTCCACTTCCTTTTTGCAGTCCAGAGGCCTCTCCAGAATGCGTCTTGAAGTCAAAGAATGGGTTGGCCAGTCGGCCAGCCAATTTTGATTCAAAGGTTTGGGTGGGTGAGGGCATCGTTCTGACCAGAACCTTGTAAGTAATTACTCCAAGCAGGTTGGAAAAGGGGGGCTCGATGTTTTGAGACAAATCATTGCGCACCGTTTCCACCACGGTTCAGTTTCAAGGTTCGGGCCTCCCCTAGTTTAGTTTAATGCGACTGTGTTCTGTGAGCAGCGTGCGCACTGTTCAAACCAGTGGCCACTATCAGACTATCAGATTTCTCCGGCTGTTTGCTTTTAGTTTACATGGCAATTGAAACTCTGGGACATTTAACAAGGCCGTTGTTTGGATTGTGAAGGAGGTGAAGGCAGTTCCGGGTGGCGGTGTTGTCAAGCAGGCGGACTCATTGGCGCTACGGGTTTGTGTCCGCAAAGGCACCCGGATTGAGATCCACCCAGATCAGGACCGACAATGGTCCAACTCTCCGATGGCTTCTGAGTACGCCGAGCTCAAGGAAAAGCACAGCCAAGTGTATGCGAACATGTTGGCAGCCATCATCAGCAAGCCTGGCTTTGCAAGTGTTCAGGACCCATGTGCAGGTTCCGTTGCGGACGAGCCAGCCGCTCCCTTGGACGACCAGGAAGATCATGCTGGTCCAGTAACCGACCTGCCAACTTTTGAGACAAGTGAGAAGCTTCATGAGAGTGACCCCATCGAGGTCCGGTGCGTTTCTGAGGTGGCAGGCATCGAACTCTTGAAGTGCAAGTCGGGGAAGTTGTACTTGCTGAGTGAGAAGGATCGAGTGCTTGTCAAGCACGCCCTTTTGGGTGGATATGGCACAGGGAAGTTGCTTTGCTTGGTGTGACGGTATGATTTTTTTTGTTGGGTTTGTTGCAGTTTGCGTTGTCCATGTCTGTCATGTACTTCGGTTTTCATGTCTGCCAGGTTCATTCCTTCCACCGAAGCCGGAGAAGGAGTGGAGGTGGAGTGGGCCGACAAGGACAAAACCCTCATCCAGGTGGACCACAGTTCGATATCACCAGACCAAACCTTCATGGAAACCATGTCACTGTACAGGTTCTTGATCCACCTCGAAAAGACGAAGAAAATTGCATCGTACAAGTTGAGCTATAGCGAGTGCAAACGTGATGAGGCCAACCCAGCCAATGACGCTTTCACCATCACCGTGGTTGACCCTCACAAGTACAAATGTCTACGCGAGCAAGCGCAGAAGGTGAGCTGCAAAAGCTTTTTTGCGAGGTCGATCGAGGCAGTGCGCGCTTCATCGATCCTCACCAGCGTTTTTCGCTGGCGCTTCGAGCGTGTCCACGGGACATGTAAGATCCAGAAGCCTTACGTAATCTCGCAGAAAGCGATCCAGCTGAAAGCTGGGAAGCCTCTGCTGTGCACTTGAGCAGGAATCAGTTTTCGGGGTTGACAGTGCAATTTTATGGATCAAGATATTGGTTTACGGTGTTTTAATACGCAGTGTTGCATTGCAAAGGGCTGTGGTGTTTGTTTGTGGCACACTCCTGAGCGCTTCGTAGGCAGAGGCATCTTGATGGTGTTCAAGAAAGTTTCTGGCTGATTGAAATGACCGACGAGCTAAAAACTAGTTTGCCTTGGAAGCTTCAGCCGCTCGCGACAAGCTTCAGTGCACAGTGGCAATGTGAAATGCTTGTTGTTTCAAGCTCAGTCAGTTGGTCTTGTTTGCATTTTGCTCAGGTATCAAGAGGTGCGAAATAAGCCCGTAGCAATTTCATGGCAAAAAAGCTGCTCACATGGCTTCAGAAGCACCGCCGCAGGCTGCGCCGGCAGCGTCGGGTGAGGAAGGAGGGCGTGATGCTTCTGCGCCGCATGACGCACCATTTGGCTGAGGATGACCAGTCCCTTTTCTGTGACTGTGATGATGGCCGCGTTCTACCTCAGTGGCCCATTGTTTGGAGAGCAGGAGATGGGCCTCACTTTTTCGCCGAGCTAGCCTTGCGAGTCAACCACCCTGTTTTGTTTGTTGAGCGAAATTCAGGCCCTATAGTGTTTCCAGAAGTTGACACTTGGGCATGCACGTGCGGTTTCTGTTGACAGACACCGAATAGTTGATTTGCAGGCGACAAATGTTTTGTTTGCTGGCTTCAGATTTGCAAGTTTCATCAGCGAGCAGAGTGATGTGTCAGTCTTGGGTTTCCCTTTGGCTGCAGTTAATTGCTGACTGCAACGAGGTGAGCGAATCAGGTTAACTCTTTTGTGTAGTTGAACGAACATTTGAAAGACTTGCCCGTAAGTCTTTTTTAGCCATGTTCAGTCAATGTATTTGTCGCTTAGCTTTGCCGCTTTGTCCTTCCCGCCGGTGAGTCAGTTCTCAAACCCGTTTTTCCCACTAAGATCCTGCAAGCCTCAAGCCTGTTTCAGGTAGTTCCTTTCATGGCCGATGATGCTGCGAAAGCATCTTTCAGGAGCGCAGTCTTGTTTAGGTTGAGCAATGGAAACCCAGATGTCCTGCTCTCCCGCAGAGCGGAACAGGCTTCAAAACCTGAAGGTTCAGATGAAACACGTACGCCGGAGAGCCAGGTGCGAAAGTCCACTTCTGCTGCTTTCTCGCCTCCGCTCCTTGCCTTCAAGCCTGTGGTGGAACCACTTGCCAATGCGAATGAGAGCCAAGAAAGCGGATTGACGAGGGCTGCTTCTGTGCTGCTAGAGTCTGACCCGGAAGAAGAACATCCAGAATCTCCAGCAGATTCACTGCCGAAAAAAACGCCCTTCTACTGGACCTGCTACTGCAGAACAGCCCGTCTTGAAAAGACCGGCTGCAAATCTGAGGGCCAAGCCTGCAGCAAAGTTGGACGTGAGTGGCGCGGAGGGCACCGACGCTGAGAAGAAGGAGAAAGTGGAGAAAAACACAATCGCTGAGAAGGAGAAAACCACAAGCGCTGAGAAGAAAAAGGGATCTGGTCCAGTGGTGAGTGGGGAAAAGAGTGGCTGCCCACGATTCCCCAATGCCGACCGCTCCTTCAAAGACAAGAGCGGTGAGTGGGAGGTTTTTGAATTCACGCGAGCCACAGGAAATTTAAAGGGAACAATTTGGCGAAAGATTGTGCACTTGCCATCAGAGCAGGTCTACCCATCATACAATCTTGCGAAGAAACATGGTTTCGACCCTGACAAGGTCATCCGTCCGGAGGACATTGACTGAAAGTTGGATTTTTGAGCAATAGCGGCAAAAAGGTCACTCAGTGAGTTTCTTTAAACGCACGTCACCACGACGCAAACAAAACGGCGACAGTGAGTTTCTTCAAACGCATGTCACCACGCAAAACAAACAGCAACTGTTCTTACTTTCAGAAATCTAAAGTTTGCATAACTGTTGTTTCTTAGAAAAGGTTCTTTTTGGACTAATGTTTGGTTCAACTTTGAGGGACGATTGGGCATAGAGGGTAAAACAATATCACAGGCGTTTAACCTGCGAACATATAGTGTTTTTTTAAGCGGCGCGAGGGTCAAGAACTATGCGTGCGTGCCACGCTGTTGGGGTGCAATAGGCGGCGCAAATAGATAGGTCGTTTCAAGTTAAAGTGCTGTCTCCTTTCAAATGCTCTCTGACAGGCAGCCGCCTAGCTAATCACTCAATTCAGCGCCGCGTGCGAAAGTAAGCCAGCGACCTGCTTTTCTTTTGCGCCAGCGAACTGCATATTCCGAGCCAGTGTGGGAGTGAACTCCGGCGTGTGCTTGCTTGTCTTGGCCTGGTGCTGGCCTACTCTTTGGCCTAGGCGTGGAGCAACATTTTGCGTACAACTTTTAATGAGGCGCTCAGAGGAAACTAGTGGATCTAACGTGGCCACACGGTGTGCCACTTTTAAAGTACAACAATCATGTAAGGCAGCTCCAAGACTAAGAGTTGCCTGTTTTTAACGTCGCTCTCCAATGGCTCTCCAACTCTCCAACATATTTGCGCGATGTCCTTCAACCCTTGCGCGCGCAGCATCGTTTGTGATGCCAACATCACGTATGACACCTAAATCTAAGTCTAACACATTGTCCTTTGTCTGACCTTGATCAGAATACGAGTCATTGGCCTATGTCTGGCCTTTACCGCTTAGTATACCGCTGCCACCAGTCATGACATTATATCCTGCGCCCGACCTTTGTCATGTATCACAGTGATGATCGCTAATCGTTGTCCTATGTCCGACCTTTGTCATGTATCACTGCGATGCCCAATGGCAACTCTGCAGTCTGCGCAGAATAGATTGTCCTATGTCCGACCCTTGTCGTTGATCACCCGTAATGATCATCATCCCGTCTGTCACTGTCAACTTCTGAACTCTGAGACTCCAAGTTTGGCGAAACCTCCAAGTTACGCAACTTTAGATTTTAGACTGAAAGTCACAGGAAAGCTTGAAGAAGACAGAATTCGTTTT